GCGCCGTGGCCCCGGGGCGCCGGCACCGGGTCCGCGGTGCGCAGCCGCCGCCCGGGCCTTCGCGCGCTGCAGAACCTCGAGGAGGAGCGTGCAACTTTATTTTTTCTGAATCTTACGAGAGTAAGCACATTATCAAACAGTAGTAGAAAGGTTCCTCGTCCATTTCACCAGCTGCACGGTGGAGTACGTTTTCCAGGCCCCGCCCTGTTCTGGTCTAGGTATCCTTCGTTTGATACAGTCGTGCTCCTGAGGCAAAGGGGTGCGGCCCCCTGTCGGTCGGTGTATTAATCACCATCCCTTTCCGTGCCTGCCACCTAGTCAATGACACATCCTAATTTTTGATCTCCTTTTCCTGGGCATCTGGATTGTTTATAATTTTGCAGCATAATAAACCGTACTGCAATGAACATCTCCTTGAATTCTACATTCGTCTTTATAAATTATTTCCTTAGGACAAATTCACAGCAGTGAGGTTACCTGGGCAAAGATAAGGACTGGTATGACTGAGGATACTTGCATTCCATTGTTCCGGAAAAGGACTGTGCCAGTTTCCACTGTCAATTACAAACTGTTGAATATTGCTAAAACAATTTTTTGCCTGATCAACCAGATTTAAAATGCCATCTGAGGGCCGGCCCCGTGGCTTAGCAGTTAAGTGCGCGCGCTCCACTACTGGCAGCCTGGGTTCGGATCCCGAGCGTGCATAGACGCATCGCTTCTCCCGCCATGCTGAGGCCGCGTCCCACATACAGCAGCTGGAAGGATGTGCAGCTACGACGTACAACTAGCCACTGGGGCTTTGGGGGGAAAAAATAAATAAAATCTTTAAAATAAAATAAAATGCCATCTCAGTGTTTTAACTCCTATTTCTTTTATCACCATCAGGAACATTTTTCTAGATTTATTGACTAACTGGAATGCTTGTTACTAAGGTGTTGGACCTAAGCTGGGTTCACCATCCTCTATGTCTCTTTGTGTTTTGCCCTGTTTTCTAGGAAATTAATCTTCCAATCCTCCTATTGAATTTCTCATTTTGGCAATCATAATCTTAATTTTCAAGAGTTTTTGTTGATTCTCTGGTATTTTTTATCATTAAATTAAATTAATTAATTAATTAATTTTTTTTTGCTGAGGAAGATTTGCCCCGAGCTAACATCTGTTGCCAATCTTCCTCTTTTTTAGAAATTTTTTTATGTGAGCCGCTGCCACAGCATGGCCACTGACAGACTAGTGGTGTGGGTCTGTGCCCTGGAACCAAACCCAGGCCACCAAAGCAGAACACGTGGAACTTAACCACTAGGCCACCGGGGCTGGCCCTTTGTTTTTAAATTGAGATATGACTTTTAGTATATGGCACAAATCTTAAGTGTACAGTTTGATGAGTTTTGATAAATGTATACACAAGTATAACCACCACTCAGATCAAGACATAGAACATTCCCATTACCCCAAAAGCTTCCCCTCTGTCAAGAGGCACAGCCTGGTGGCTAACAGGGCCATGAAGATCACTATGCAGCTGCTGGTGGGGCTGCCACACTTCCGTAGACTCGGCTGATAAGGAGATGACAACCCCCAATGGGTCCAGACAGCTTATTACTCACACAGACAGCAAAAGCACGACCAGCATGGCGTCAGCTTTCCCTAGTCGCAGGACAACACTGAACAGGAAGGACCAGAGGACAGGCGGCGTGGCGGTAGGTCTCTCTGTGGGAAAGAAGCCAACTCCGAATTGCAATCAGACAATTTTATGGCCTGCAGCTGCACTCCTAGTGGGGGGAGGGGCAAGGTGGAAAGCCCTACACTCAATTGAAATTAGGAAGGGGGATGAGAAGTGGCTTCACAGCAATCTCCCACGTGGTAGGGTGGCTCCTCCCCAGGCTGCTTATCTCCCCTTGTTCCAGAAGGAATCTTGGGATGCATGTTACAGGAGGAATCATAGTGCGTTCTGCTGCCACTTGGGTCAGACTGTGGGCAAGCCTTGCCTACATGGCCTACAGGGAGCAGTACGAGGGGGTCAGGGTGTGTGTCAGTGCTGCTTCCTACAACTCCACCTCCTGCCACCCCAACCTTTCATGTATCCAGCTAAAAATTATTTTCAGGAGCATAAGCCACCCTATCAGATAGCCCAATTAATTGTACTGATGGGAGCTTGGACCAAATCCTTTCCATTTGTCTTAAGCAACATCATATGAGAGTAACCACAACCATGCCTTCCAGCAGGATGATCAGACTTGGAGCCTAGCTCCCTACCCAGAGTCAAACCATTATGTCCCAGATGCCACTGGAGATAGACCTTAGAGCCACCCTGATTATGAGTTGAGAGATAGATCACTCCACTTTTCCTGATTCATTAATCCAAGTGCAGCAAGAGGTGTTAGCTACCACATATGTGCTGCTTTGACTGGCCAGCATGAAGCCCGGGGCAATACAATTGTCCATCACCACTTACACTAGAGCTTAGACTGATTTGTGTTTGGCAGGCAAGTATAGGCTTGATTTCCACAGCACACCAGAGTGGTAGAAGGAGCATCAGGTTAGAATCTCCCATCCCCCAGTTCTTTGCCACTGCGGGTTCCAATAGCCTGATTTCCTGGAGGTAGGCATGAGAGGGAAAAATGAAGAGGAAGAAGGACTAAGTATGTGGTTTGAGTCTCTTATAGCCAGTTGGGGGCCTCTTCTGTCCCTCCCAATCTTGTAAACACTCTGTCCGAATGAGAACCACCCTTCCCCGGAATTGCCACATTTAGCATCCACATTGCCTTGTCTCAAGTGTGTGCTCCACTGGGAGCTGAACTTCTGTTGTCCACTTGTCTATTTTAGTTTTTCCTTTAAGAGCACGTTCCATCTTTTGTCGGCACCTGCCACCTGTTGGTGATACAGGGCATGAAATGTCCAGGGAATGCCCCAGGTAGTCACTCATGCAGAGTACTCTTGGCTATAAAGGCAACACCATTGTCTGATTGGATGTGTTTGGAGAACCCAAATATGCAACATAGCCCCTTTAGGAGTTCTTGAATAGTATGGCCCACATCCACTGTGCAGTCGGGAACTACTGTGCCATACCCGGAAAAAGCTGTCTATTGCAGTCAATGCCCAGTGATACCCCTGAGGGGAAAGTAGAAGGCCCATATAGTCTATTTGTCAGGACCAGCCAGGTTCAGTGCCCTGAACTGTGTGCCCCGGGGTTCTCTCTGCCACTCCACTGAGTAGGCAATAGCGTAGGCACATTAGCCAGGCCCTGGATTACAGATGGCCTGCCAGGTACTGTGTGATAGTGTATCCAGCTGGCTGTGGTTCTTACCTGGGCAGTACAGTTCTGACCAGCTTGTTGGTTTCATTGATGTTCCATGGGCATCCCTTATTAGTCAAGATTCTCCAAAGAAGAATCGACAGGATGTGTATATATACAGAAAGATTTATTTTAAGGAATGGGCTCACATGATTATGAAGGCTGGCAAGTCCAAAATCTAGAGGGTAGGATGATGGAGACCCAGAGAAGAGCCGATGATGCAGTCCGAGTCCAAAGGCCGTCTGCTGCAGAATTCCCTCCTGCTTGGGGGAGGTCAGTCTTTTGTTCTATTCAGGCCTTTAGCTGATTGGATGAGGCCCACCCACATTAGGGAGAGCAATCTGCTTTACTCAAAGTCCACCAATTTAAATGTTAATCTCAACCAAAAAAATCTTCACAGAAACATACAGAATAATGTTTGACTACAAATCTGGGCACCATGGCTCAGCCTAGTTGACATATAAAGTAACCATTATGATCGCCATGGGTTGTGAACAGGGGACATGTGTCCCACACAATCTGTTGCCATAATGCTCTTCCTACAGGGGTTGGGACTTGATTATCCGATTGTCCTGCTGCAAGATGCCAGGCTGCCAGCCCAGTGGCTACCGCCCAGAAGTCAGTGAAATACAGCAAGGTGCACTGTGAGCAGTGTTTTCCAGGGCAAGCACCATCGCCAGCAACTCTGCCCATTGCGTGGAGTTTTCCATGCAAAATCTTAACCTGTGCTCTCTGTGGCTGCACAGCCTCAGCAGTTCAGTGCACTCCATCGTCTGTTAACTTGGCTAATCTGTCCATGAGCCAGGCCGAGGTCCTGAGGGACATCAGTGTCCTGAGGACCCCAAGAAATCCAAGGTGCTGTCACAGACTCTGCCTCTAGGATAGCCACACTTCATACCTGGGCACCTTTTCCTGCAGGTAGGAGATTCCATTAATGCCTGGTTTACTCTGTTCTTGGATGTACCATTCATCTTTAATGATAAACGCTTGTTGGGCAATGCCCATTTCACTGGTGTTTTCACTCCAGCCTCATCCCAAAATGAGGACGTCAAGTTGAAAAAACACCTTAGTCTCTCAGCGACCACCAGCACCTAATAACAAGTCAGTAATTGCCACTCAAACAGGGTCTACAGAGCAGAGTTGTCAAGCAAGTTCTATGTGTCCTAAAACCCAAGGGGTGCCTTTGCCTCGGGGCAACGTCCTTCTTCCACAGGCTCCAGTCTACGTAACTGGCAGTCGCTGACGCTTTTAATTAAAGGGTTCAACAGGACAAACTGGCCCAAGGCAGAGGGCAGTCTCTGAGGCCTGTTGTTGTTCAGGGCCCCACTCAAAGATGTCTGCCTTTTGAGTAACCTTATGCAATGGGCTGAGACATAAACTGTCTCCAATACCCAGACCTGCCTATCAGATGTTTCGCCTCTTTTTGGTTTATTGGAGGTTTTAAGGCCAGTAGTTTTCCTTTGACATGCCCAGGGATTGTCCTCTGGTTACTGGCCCACATGATTCCTAAGAACTTGGGCAAGTATTGGCCCATCCTGTCTAGGGCAGTTTGCTCTAGTTAGTTTTTCTCATTAGGATTTCATCAGTATAATAATACCGAGACACTTCTTACGGGATCCCAGGCTTCTCTATGTTTTGGTCTATCCACTGGTGGCAAATCACAGGGGAATTCAGGTAGCCCTATGACAGCACTGTAAAGGTGTACTGTAACCCAAGCCAATGAAGGCAAGCTGATTTTCATCCTTCGGGTGTAATGGAATGTTAAAAAAAGGCATTAGCAATGTCCACCACCACATACCAGGTGCCTTCAGTCTGTGCATGAGCTCTGTGACTTATAATAATCTGTGAGGCACCACAGGCAATTGGCCTTTTTTAGTGGCTACTCAGGGATATTATAAGGAGATATCCTTTCCTTGTGTACCCCTAAATCCACTAGTTCCTGATCAAAACAGTAGTTCCCCCCTACTCCCTCTATCCTGCTCTGCTTCATGATAACCACTTGGCTAGGTCAGGAGAGGTGACCACTTGTCCATATCCTAATTACCACTATCCTAAACGTAACATTTCCCCATTGGGAACATCCCTTACGATCAAGAGAGGTATTACACATACTGAAAACATCTATTACCACAATTCATTCAACAGTGTTAGTTACAACCACTTGAGTATGTATTGGCTCAAAAGGACCTGCCCCAAAACTATATCAATCCATTGTCCAATTTGAGAATTATTTCCAAATCTAGTAAGAGTAAGCTTTCAGCCATGCCTGTGGGCATGTCCCAGTATCACAGTGGCCAGTGCCACCATGTCCAGAAGGGCCAAGAAGGTTTGGTGATCTTGGTTCCAGTTCAGTTCCCCAACACACCTTGACCGTTGCATAGGGCCTCTGGTCTCCCCTGGGGATAGAGGGACCTTGGCCTCCCACCTAGTCATTTGTCTATGAAGCGGGTCAGGGATAGTGCTGAAAGTATTGGGTCAAACAGCAGTCCAGACAACATAACCCTCAGCTGGGAGGTAGGGGCTCTCTTGGTGTCCCTCCTGTCTGCCCACAGCAAATGCCAAAGATGGCCCAGATACAGCCCAAATCTTTAAGTCCCATGGCCCTCCCAGAGCCCAATAACAAGAGAGAATTTTTCTTCATGGGAAGACTATCATTTTCCTCTTTTGGGACCCCCTGGCATAATAGCCAGGTCCACGTGGACTTATGGCTCGTTTCTCTCCCTGGCTTGGCCTCTAGTGCTTTATCTTGGCCTTTGCCAAGGCTTCCATTCTGGAAAAATTATTGCTCAGTGGCTGAATAGTTTCCCAGAGACAGCCCCAGAGAGCAAGAGAAAATTCAGTTTCGCCCATAGCCTGATGGTGTCGAGCAAATGTTTAATCTGACTTTGGGTGACTATTTCTTCATCTGGGCACTCAGGATCTCTATTATGAATCCAGGCTGAGGTCACAGCAGACTAAAAGCAAGTGACAGCCTCTCCCAATACTGTCCAAGAGTGCTTATCAGATGACAGAAATTCATCTTGAGTAGGCCACTCTTTCACCAGAGCTGTAAAGACCCACTGCAATAAGCCCTGATTTATCTTTATATTTTCCTCCTCCATATCCATGTCACTGGCCAGAACAGTTGTGGCCAAAGTGGCTTGGAGCATAGGGTCAGTTGTTAAGCACCCAAATGACTTCTATTCCTTGTCATCCAGCAGAACTTGCACACACCCTCATTTGCTAGTTGGATGAGCTGTGCTTCTGTGGTTTCATTGGACTTTTGTTCAAATCTATCTCTAATTTCCCTCCTCACTCACTCATTGTAAGAGTGGATCTCATCATATTTCTGAGTGGCGGACTGCCCTTGATCACCAGGTAGTGTTCTATTTGTAGTCACCTACTGCGAGCAATACCACCATATGCTTTCTTTAGCTTTGCAAGACCCTCCATCTTTGATTTCTAACTCTAAACACCAATGGAGCTTGTTGGGGATCAGGGACAATGGTCAAAGACCGCTTGTCTCTGATGTCACTAAACACCTCAGCACTAAATGGGCACTTAGTGGACACTAAGTCCACCAGAATGCTATCCCATACTTGACCTGACAGTCCACAGAGACTTGTCTCTTCTCCAAAAGGGAGATTATGACCTTATCAGGCCCACATTAAGTGGCAAATTGGTCAAGTGGTCAAGCAGTCCCCAAGCGCAGTGTGGTGGCTAACAGGGCCACAAGAATCACTATGCAGCCGCTAGGTGGGCCTGACACACTTTCATAGACTCAGCCAGAAAGGAGATGACAAGCCCCAGTGGATCCAGACAGCTTATTACTTACACAGACAGCAAAAGAAAGACCAGCATGGTGTCAACCTCTTGCATCCCTTGTCCCATAGGATGACACTGAACTGGAGGGACCAGATGACAAGAGGCATGGTGGTAGGTCACTCCGCGGTTAAGGAGCCAATTCCAAACTACAGCCAAGCAGTTGTATGGCCTATGGCTGCACTCTACAAGGGGAAGGGCCAGATGGAAAGCCCTTCACTCAATGAAACTAGGAAGATGGATGAGAAATGGCTTTGTGGCAGTCTCCCTCAAGATAAGGAGGCTTTTCTCTAGGCTGCTTATGTCCCCTGACTCCAGGAGTAATTGTAGTGCACACTGTCAAGACCCAAGTCACACTACTCAAGCCTCGTCTACATGGCCTATGTAGAGACTTGCAAGGTTGTAAGGACACCAGGGCAGAGCTATTCCCCTATGTCCTCACACCCTTACGATCAGTATCCCCAGACATAACCACTACTTTGACTTCTTTATAGCTTAGTTTTGCCTGTTCTTGAACTTTATACAAAGGAATCATAAGTATGCACTCTTTCATGTTTGGCTTCTTCACACGTGTTTGAGATTCATCAGTGTTGGTGCATGCATCAGTGGTTTGTTCTTTTTTATTGCTGAATAGACGTTTGGGTCATTTCGAGTTTATTCTGGTCCTAACTTCTCTCTCTTCTTCTGGATCTTCAATTACTCATGTATCGGAGTCCCACATTTCTTAGGCTCTGTTCTTTCCATTCTTTCTTTGTTCGCTCTATACTTCAGTTTAGAAACCTTCTATTAATCTATCTTCAAGTTCAGTAGTCCTGTCTTCTGATGTGTCTGGTCTCTAACTATGATTGTGACTTTATTCTTTAGTTCTATAAATTTTCATGAAACCCATCCAATGTGTTTGTAATTTCAGAGATGGTATTTTTCAGTTCTACATGCTCTTTTGATTCTTTTTAAACAGCTTCCAGCCCTGTTGAAATTCTCTTTATTTGCATCAATTTTGTCCATCTTTTTCTCCATTTAACATATTAAGCATAGTTATTTTAAAACCCTTATTTGCCAACTCCAATATCTGGATCATCTATGGGTCTGCTTCTATTGTTTATTTTTTCTCTTGTGTATTGGCCCCATTTTTTCCCCTTTTTCTGAATGTTTTATAATATTTGATTGTATATTGCATATTGGGTACAAAAGAAGAGTCAAAGATTATTCTTCTCCTCCCTCCCCAAGGGTTCCCAGAGGAGCTAGTCATCTAGATGTAATCAAGTACTGAACTGAGTTATAGTTCTGATAAAACTCAGTCCTCCTCTAGATTGTTCCTATCCCTTATGAGTGGATTTGGGGCTGAAAGCCTGGCCAGTCTCTGTCTCTCTCAGCCCTTCAAATTCTTCTCTTCAGAGATTTTGAAGTTAGCTCTTTAGCCTCCCAACCCACACAAGTTCAAAATCTTATCTGTCTGTTTCAGGCCCCCTCCCTCTAAACACTGCAAGACTGGGACTTGCTTCTCCGGCCCAGCCCCTTCCCAGTTGCCCACACTGCTCTGGAACTCAGCAAATGTTCCATGGGAAGAAGTGACTTTGCATTTCGGGATCCTCTAGTTTCCAATCCATAGCATAGTTCCTGCCAGCACCAGAAACTTCATTTCTCTCTTCCCAAGTAGACTCTCTCTCTTTGGGGAAGTTCTGATCATCACAGCTGTCCTGAATCAGCACGTCTCAGGGACGAAAACAGCCTCCCATCAGCAGTTCACCTTGGAGGGGTTCTTTCCTCCTTGGAATTTTAGTCCATCTGGTCCTTATTTCTTCCACCACTCTCCATTCTCTTTAAACATGGTTACGCTCATCTTATCTGTTTCCTCCTAGTTGCTGCAATGGGAGTGGTGGCCTGCAGAGACAGACCACAATCCTACCCAGAAGCAGAAGTTCTTCAGTTCTGCTTTTTACCGCTTTCAATGGAGACACGCTTTGACTTCTTAGGATTTTCATTTAGTCACATTCTAACCTGAGTTCCTCTCGTTTAAACAAGTTTTAGGGCTTTTGAAAAGAGATGTCAACTATTTCCTAAAGTCTCTTGAGGGATGGCCATTTTACCTCAAATTTCTTCCTGCTTTGTTCTTTAAATCTTTCCCAGTTTCTGTTTTTCAGTTTGTTCACGCTTCTTTGTCTTTTTGATCTTCACCGTTGCTGCCAGAAAAGTTTCAGATAATTTTGGGGGCACTCAGGGGAGGAGGTGAAGGCTCCCCGCTCTGCTACCCCATTTCTCAGTAAATTTGTATTGAGAGAGAAACTCCCTGGGAAGCATTTTCTTTCTCTTCAGCCATCCAGCCTGTTTTGACTGTAACTCTAACTTTCCCTGACTCTCTTCTCATCTCTCCTGAATCTCATGTGACTGCTGTACACATCCATAGTGTTGGCTACTCTAACATGTGACAGCTAATGACTTTCTGACCTCAATTTCAGCCTTTACTTCTGTCTGGGTTTACGGACATATACATCACACTTTCGTCTCCACAGCCCCCTCAAATGCAACACCTCCAAACTCCATCCTCCCCGTAGCTCTGCTCCTCTGCCTGTGATCTGATTTCAGGAATGACACCACCATCTGGTCAGAAGCCTGTATATCATCCTGATCTCCTTCCCACTTCCCTGTGTCTCACATCCAGCAGCTACAAACCATGCCAGTTCTGCCTGTGAACACTCCCCGTTCTCTCCCTTCCCCACGGCCGCAGTACAGGCCCTCTATTCCTCCTAACCCTGCCCTCCAGAGGAGCATACATGCTAAGAGCACTTGATGGGCACAAGTGGTTTTATTATTTCTGCCTGGAAGAGGGAGCCCTGGCAGGAGCAGGGATGCACAGCAGACATGGAGCCGCATCCCTGCCAGCAGCACAGATGCTGCTGGCTGGAGTCCAGGCCTGTGAACAGTGTCCAACGGTGAGAGCAGGAGCTGGTGAGGAGGTACAGCCCCGCTTGCAGAGGCCACTGGCTTGAGAAGCAGCTCCCAGCCTCACCGATGCCGCTTTCGGATGCTCTGCAGCTCCTGGTAGATGGTGCTGAAGCTGGGCCGCTGCCCGGGCTCATAGGCCCAGCACTGCTCCATGAGCCTGAACACAGCGTCGGGGCACAGCTCGGGGCAGGGCAGACGGCCCCCTGTGAGGACAGGAACAGCACACCAGGCATGAGGAGGGAGTCTGAGGGCCCCTGGCAGCCCCAGGGGGCATATCATAAGCAATGGGAGGTGCTTAAGACGCACTGTTCTTAACGAGCTGCTCTTCTTCACCAAGGTCATAGAGGTTCTAACCTTAATCCCACTACATGCTTAGTTGTGTGACCTCTGCAAACCTTAGTTTTTCTGTCTGTAAAAGGGACGTATTAATTCCTACCTCACAATTTGTGAACAGTAAATGAGATAATGTATGGCTTGGTACATAACAGGTGCTCAGTCAGTGGGAGCTACAGGATCGTTATTATTCTGCCCCAGTGGAAGGCTGGAAGGCTAGGCAACCTGGGAGAGCCCGGCAGGAGCCCTGCGGAGAGTGCTCGGCTCTGAGGCTGCTGTCACGCAGCAGGGCTGCCTTACCCTTTTCCACGAACTCCCGAGTCTGCTGATTGCTGAGGTTGGGGTAGGGGGAGGCCCCCAGGCTAAAGGCCTCCCAGAGCAAGATGCCAAAGCTCCACACGTCGCTCTCGGAGGAGTAGCGGCCTGCAAGGAGGTGAGGCTTCGGGAATGGGCTGTCCACGCCCATGGGCCAGAGTGAGGCAGCCAGCAAGACCCACGCCCAGCCTCAGGCCCTGCAGCCCACATACCATAGTTGAGAGCCTCGGGCGCGGTCCACTTAACAGGGACTTGTCTGAGGCCCCCTGAGGCTGCGTAGACCCCATCAGCTTCCTCCCGGGACATCCCAAAGTCACTGATCTTCAGGACGTTCTTCTCTGTCACCAGGCAGTTCCGAGCAGCCAGGTCCCTGGGCGAAGCAGGGCAGGGGCTCACTCAGCCAATGTCCATGCAGCAACCGTCACCTGCTTGGCCCGGGCCCTCTAGACAGAGCCATGAACAAAAGCTGCTCCCTACCCCTAGGCCCATCAGGAGAGGCAAACTCCACCTCTGGAGCCCTGAGTGCTGGTGACAGCACCACCTGCAGCGGGTGCGGGTGGCCAGGGACCTGTGTGTGCTGCATGGGCCTGCCCTGCCCACTCACTCACCGGTGGATGCAGCACTTGCTCTCCAGGTACTCCATGCCCGCAGCCGCATCCCCCACCATCTGCAGCAGAGTCTTCATCCGCAGGCGGGGTCCCTCTGTCCGGAGGAAGGTCAGGAAATCGCCCCCTGGGGGTGGGCGGAGGAAGCCTCGTTGAGCCACCTGCGGGGTGCTGAGCTGGCAGGTCTGAGTGCCCTAGCCCTGGAGATCAGCTCCCCCTGCTCACCCTGCACAAGCTCCATGACGATGTAGATGGGCTGTTTCTGGGTGCAGACGCCAATGAGACGCACGATGTTGGGGTGGCTGTACTGCTTCAGGATCCTGGAGGGCACTGCTGCTTAGGATCCTGCCTTGGGGGCTTGCCTCCCCAGCCCCAGGAGCCCCAGGGAACCCGAGGGAGGATGGGAGAGGGCAGCAGGAGAGAAGAGCTTGGCATCTGAGGCCAGCAGTCCCGGATGTGTGACCTGGGGTGGGTCACGGAGCCTGCACCCCTCGCACTATGTGGGGGGTACCGGCATGGGGGACCGTGAGGATTAACGACTCCACGCAAGTCTCGTACTTCATGTGGTGCCATGCACAGAGGGATCCTAGTGTACAGTGATGGCTATTTGATCACCCACCTCGCTTCCTGGAGAAACTTGGCCTTGAGGTCTGGTGGGAGCGTTTCTCGACAAGATTTCACTGCCACCAAGGTGTTGTCGGCTCGCAGGCGTCCACTGAACACTTCACCAAAGTTCCCCTGAAATGGTAGTGGGCTCCCACCAATCTTCCCTGGATCGTGGTTCTCTTCTCTGCTCAGGGGACAGCCCGCCTTGTCCCCACCCACCCTCACTCAGTGCCCCCCAATCCCAGCTCTCTAGGAGTCTCCCCCCAAATTGAGAGGGTACACATGGCATTGGCAGAGAACTTTCTCTCTGACTTGCCCCGTTCACTGAGAAGTGACATGGAAAATCCAAAAATCACTGTCACTTGGGTTGGAAAAGCGTTCTGATTTTTAAGAAAATGACTTCTCTCCTAAGTATTTTACAGCTCACAGGAACAGGGTGTCTCCCCTCCCTGAGGAGGCGGGGTGGGGGTGAGGGACAGTGTATGGCAGCGGCTGGGCGGGGAGTCCGGGAGATGAGTTGGGAATCAGACTGAGGCAGGGAGCAGGGAGGCAGAAGAGTTCAGCGAGGGTGGGGCCTGGGGGCGACTCAGCTGTGGGCTGGAAGGAAGCAGTGCTGGGGGAGGGAAAACACAGGCAGCCAGGAGGCTGGCAGAGTCACACCCCACTCAACTCACCCGCCCGATCTGCTCGCCCAACACCAGGTCCTCGTGGTTTAGTGCCCACTTGTCCTGGGGAAGGCGGGGGTCAGAAGTCAGTGAAGGGAAAGCATGCTGGGCCCTGTGAAGGACCGAACAGCCCCACCAATGCTATGCCTTTCATTTCTTGGCACCTTGGTTTGTTGGTCTGTAAAATGGGAGGTTGGACTACGTCAAGATCACACTCAGGTGACGTCGGGGACCAGGCAGGGACACTAAGTGGGTGAGCGCCAGTCCTCTGTGTGTGGCCCACGGAATGGGAATGGCCTTGACATTCCAAACCTAGAGGGAGGCTGCCCTGAGGAGTGAGGAGTCACCTCATACCTGTACGTAGACTGGGGGCCTGGAAAGCCCCATGGGCGGCATGGGCCGGGCTGGGCATGGGCTCACCTTGGGCACAGCCCTATTCAGGATGACACCGCTCTTCTTGGTGAGGGGCTGCTGGGAGCGCAGCATGTGGTCGATGAGCAAGGGGATGCTGGGAAAGCTGTCACCTTCCAGTCGGTACAGGTTCTGTGGGACAGGGGGACCTGGGGTCAACAGCCTCACCGCTGAGGGGGCCTGAGCCCTGGGAGAGGAGAGGAGGAATAGCAGGGAGAAAGGGCCTGCCTGCGACGAGAGGCAGAGGGACCTGCAGAAAAGGCACCACCTGAGGGTGCAGGACAAGTCTGCTAGCCCAGCCTTAGGGGAGGACTCATGCTGAAGGCTTCAGCCTCTATTTTGTTACAGGAACTGGGTGGTCTCTGTGGCCCCTTTCAGCTCTGCCAGGGAGGCATCTAAGACACAGCAGCTCCTTCCTACCCTCTCAAGGGTGGAGGGGAGGGGAGCGGAAGGGAGGGGAGGGGATGGAGTCCAGGCCCCACTCACGTCAGCAGACTGGATGATGAAGTGCCGGGGCTGGCCATCCCACAGCACTGACAGTACGTACTCCTGCTTGCCCTGGCTCTCCCGTACCAGGAAGTCCCCAGAGTGTGTCAGCAGCTCAGCCACCTCTGCCCGTGGGATGGCCCCATGGTACCACAGCTGCTCATGCAGGGGCTTCTGTACCTCTGGAACAAGCTGCAGTGGTGGGGGGAGCTGGGCAGGAGCAGGGGCGGAGCAAGAAGGGGTTACTCAGCCAGCTCGTCAGGGGAGGCCACTAGGCCAGCCAGGGGTCAGTTGGGGGGGGTCTTTGTCTCTCTCTCTCTCTCTCTCTCATATGCCCCTCAGTCCTCACAAACCACCTGAATGGCACATCAAGCCATCCGCAGGCCCCTGGAGTGGGCACTAGACTCTCCCAGGCTTACTCTAGGCAAAGCCAGGATGGGAAGCCCAGGCCGGCAGATCCCAAACCAAGCTTTCGTCCTTTCTACCAAGCCACAGCCCCTAACCACTCCCAGAGCAGGGGGAGCCGTGGGTCAACAAGGCTGCAGGTCCCTTCAGCACACATGGTTATAGAGAGAAAGGGGGTGCAGGGGCAGCAGGATCTGGGGACATCTGCAGCCTGGAATCCAGGCAAGAGAGGGACTCCCCAGTAAAAGCAGCCTGGGCAGGGCCTCCTCTCTAGGGCAACTCAGTGACTGACCCAAGGGGCTTGCGGGGGTCACCTCTGAGGCCCCTGGCCTGACCCACCCCTTAGAGAAGGGCAGAGGTGTGGGCCCAGGCTGGGCTCCACTCACCGAGAACTTGGGGCGGAAGATTCCTGAGATGTGGCTCTTAAGGATCTCCAGGGTGGGCGTCCTTCCTCCTTCTCGCTCCTGCTCCTGAGGCCAGGGACAGACGTCAGCGGGTGGCCAGGCTTAGGGAGGGGGAGGGCGAAAATGAGGAGCACAGCCCCGGGCAGGCAGGCGTGGCTGGCAGCGGCAGGCAGTGGGTAGGCGGCTCACCGAGGACGACGTGGAGTGGCGGTCATCCTGCAGGAGCAGCACGGGCGGGGGCTCGCCGGGGCCCAGCTGCTCCAGCTTGGCCTGCAGCAGCTCCTGCTGGGCCTGCAGCTTGGCCTGGCTGCACAGTGCTACCTGCAGCCCCTGCAGGGCCTCGTGCAATACCTGCTTCTTGCCCAGCAGCTGCACCCTGCAGGCAGGGGCAGGCGGGAGGTGAGGGAGAGAGAAGGGCTCAGCCTGTAGCTGGCAGCCAGCAGGGGGTCGGGCAGGCAGGAGGGAGGAAGGAGAGCCAGAAGGGTGCTTGGGTGGACCCGCTCACCGTTCCCGGGGGTGGGTGTTCTGTTCCTCGTTCCAGAGCTCACGTTGCAGCTGAGTGACCACCTCCTGCCGGCTGAGCACTGTCTCCGTGGCCACAGCCAGTTCATCTGTCACTGAGGTCAGCCTGTGCCCAAAGGAAGGGCAATATTAGAGCCATGCCCTTCAGATGCATCCCTGCAGAGCCAAGCAAGCCCGGCCACCTGGGCACAGCTCTGTATGGACAGTGTCTACCCCCCAGCATCCCCGACCCTGTGCCAAGCCACTACCCACGTGTGCTGCACACTCTCCACAGTCAGCTCATTTAGTTGCAGCTCCCCAGGCTCCAGCGGTTCACCCTCCTCAAGCAGTGACTCATCAAAGGTGACACAGGGTGGGACATCGGGTGTGGACCTGCGGGGGGACAGTGCCCTGTCAGTGAACAGGCCAGCAGCCTTGGTGGCCGGCAGGAGCAAGGAGGGGCTTACCCATACTGTCGCAGGAAGGCTTGGTACTCAGCCTCGGGCTGGATGCGGGCGGCAGCTGCAGCCATCTCCTGGTGAATGGCCACCACCTCGTCCTGCACCAGGCTGCTAATCTCCAGGTATTCCTGCAGGATCTCCTTCCTGTCCCCAGACAGGACCCTTGGTTACAGGGGCCTCAGGCTGGGCAAGGCTCAGGGAAGCCCAGGGCCCATGACACTGGGTTTGGAGTCAGCCCTGGGGTAGACCCCCACCTCGTCATTTGCCAGTCAAAAGACCATAGGCAAATTACTTAACGTCTCCCTGACCTTCGCTTCCTGATATGTATGATGGGGATGCTGGGAGTCTCAATAAGGACCCAGTGAGATCCTGTGTGCAGAGTGTGTGGTACATACGAAGTGCTTGCTAAACATGAGCTGCAATCATGCCTGCCCTGGGCAGCCAGCCCAACAGCTGGGGCTCTAGGGCTCCGATACACGCACACACCACTGAGGCGCTGCTGACCCCACATTTACATCTCCGATCCCAGCACATACCCAGAGCTCCAGTCTCATGTATCCATCCACCTGCTCAAAACATTCTGTTGGACATCTCTTAGACACCCAAACTCCATTACTTGAAAAATGAACTCCCGCTCTTGTCTCCTGAACCTGTTTCTCCCATAGCCTCCTCCACATAAGTTAATGACAACTCCATCTTCCAGGTGCTTGGGGCCAAATCCTTGGAGTCATCCTTGATTCCTCTATCTCACACCCCACTTCCAGTCCATAAGGAAATCCCACTGGCTCCACCTTCAAAATATATCCAGGACCTGACCACTTCTCCCCTCCACTGCCACTGGTCTAAGTGGTTTGGATTACTGCAATAGCCTCCTGTCCAGTGTCTCTGCCCCTGTCCTTGTGCCCTGAAGTCCATTCTCAACACAGCCAAAGTCCTCACAATGGCCTGCTGGACATCCAGCAGCCCCCCAAACTCTGCCCTCCCCCCACTCTGCATGGGCTACACTGGCTTCCTTGCTATTCCTTGATTTCAGGCACTTTCCCACCTCAGGGCCTGCATACCTGCTGTTCCCTCCTTCTGGAATGGCCTTTCTCCAAACCCCCCCAGCTCCCTCCTGCACCTCCGGGGCTCTCATCAGACCACTCTGTTTAAAACTGTAAACTCGAGTTTACATCAGCATCATGGCAGAGTGAGCTTTCCCCCTTAGACTCTCCTCTGCTAAGATACAACAAAAAGGACATTCATATAACAACAGAGGACGTTCACACAACACAAAAGAGGTCTGAGAAACCCACACAGCCTTACATCTGAAGGTGGAGGTGCTGGTACCCCCAGAGGAAGTGGAAGGAGGTAAGGAGAACTCCTCTCCTTCCCCAATGACAGCAACTCTGGGACGTGGACAGCGCAGCTCTCTGAGAGAGAGGGGGAAGGGATGGTCCTCCGTGGAAAAACTGTCTCTCTCCAAGTTCTCTCACAGCCTGTGGGAAATTCCCATATGGAGGGGACTGAACTGCTGTGGGGATATTTTCATCAAGCTAGCAGCCTAGGAGAGCAGGTAGCAAGGGAAGAATGAGAAGCCCCCAGGGATTGGGCAGGTGAAAGAAAGAGCCCCTCCCCACCACCCGGAGCACCAGCACAGCCAGTCAGCCAGAGCACCTGCTGATCACACAGCTCTTGACTCTCACCTAGTGGCGGCAGGTAGAAGCTGCAACCAGATATTTTCAGAATGAGGAACAATAAGCCCAGTCTCATGTATCCATTCACCTCATACTGCCCTCAAGCAGTATGCAAAAATATATTAAATCTCCAGACCAGAAGGAAAATGACAAGCACCCAGAAATCAATCCTGAAAGCACAGAAATTTATAACCTAAACGAGAGAATTCAAAATAGCTATCATAAAAAAGCTCAACAAACTACAAGAAAACACAGATAGACAATTCAATGAAATCAGGAACTTCTTCACAAAAGACATTTAAACTATAAAGAAAAACCAAATGTTGGAGATGAAAAACACAATGGAGGACATAAAAAAAATCTGGAATCTTTAAAGAACAGAGCTGACAATATGGAGGAAAGAATTAGCATTTTAGAGGATAGGAATACAGATATGCTCCAGATGGAAGAGGAGAGAGAACTAAGACTAAAAAGAAATGAAGAAAGTCTCCGAGAAACATCTGACTCAATTAGGAAATGCAACATAAGGATCATAGGTATTCCAGAGGGAGAAGAGAGGGAAAAAGGAGCAGAGAGCTTGTTCAAAGAAATAATAGCTGAGAACTTCCCAAACCTGGGGAAGGAGCTGGAAATACAAGTGCATGAAATCAATAGACCTCCTAAATATATCAACATGAAAAGACCCTCACCAGGGCATACAGTAGTAAAGTTGGCAGAAGTCGATGATAAAGAAAAAATATGAGGGGCAGCAAGACAAAAAAAATTTTTTTTAAAATACAAAGGAATTCCTATCAGGATCTCAGCCAATTTCTCAGCAGAAACTTCACAGGCTAGGAGAGAACGGAATGATATATTCAAAATTCTGAAAGACAAAAACTTTCAGCCAAGAATACTCTATCCAGTGAAAACATCCTTCAGATATGATGGAGAAATAATAACTATCCCAGATAAACAAAAGCTAAGGGAGTTCATTGCCACATGACCCCCACTGCAAGAAATACTCAAGAAGGCTCTCTTGCCTGAAAAAAAAAAAAAAAAGAGAAAGGGGATACAAAGCTTTGTGCAAGGAGAAAAACAGGTAGGCAAAATCAGGAAAATTGCAGCTCTCTATCAGAATAGGTTAGCAAACAGTTAATTATAACACCAAAGATTAAGGGAAGGAAAACACCAAAAATAAATATAACCGCATCACTTTAAACACAAACTCACAACACAAGATGGAATAAGTTGTGACAATAATTACTTAGAAGGGGAATAGGAAAGAGATGGCACCAACTTAGTCTAAGGAAATAAGGGGCCATCAGAAAATGGACTATCTCATCTACAAGATTTTTTATACAAACCTCATGGTAACCACTAAACAAATAATCAGAACAGAGACACATACGATCAATAAAGAGAAAACTAAGAAAACCACCACACAGAACTACCAAACTGAATGGGTAGTCTGAAACACATGGGAGGAGAAACAAAGCAAATGCAAAAGAACTGGAAAATGAGCGATAAAATAGCAACATTAAGCCCTCATATATCAATAATTACCCTAAATGTAAATGGATTGAATTCTCCAATCAAAAGATACAGAGTGGCACGATGGATTAAAAAACAAGATCCAACAATATGCTGCCTCCAGGAAACACATCTCAGCTCTAAAGACAAACACAGGCTCAGAGTGCAAGGATGGAAGACAATACTCCAAGATATCGGCAAACAAAAGAAAGCAGGTGTTGCCATACTTATATCAGACAAAGTAGAATTCGAGATAAAATAGGTAATGAGAGACAAAGAGTGGCAATATATAATGATAAAAGGGACACTCCACCAAGAAGACATATCACTTATAAACATATATGCTCCCAACACAGGAGCACCAAGGTACATAGAGCAACTATGAACAAACCTAAAAGGAGATATTAACAACAACACAATAATTATAGGAGATTTTAACCCCCCACTTACATCAATGGATAGACCACCCAGACAGAAATTCATTAAAGAAACAGTGGACTTAAATGAAAAACTAGATGAGATGGACTTAATAGATATATAGAGAACACTCCATCCAAACACAGCAGATTACACATTCTTCTCAAGTGCACATGGAACGTTCTCAGTGACAGACTATGTGTTGGGAAACAAGGCAAGCCTCTATAAATTTAAGAAGACTGAAATCATAACAAGTATCTTTTCCAATCATAATGCTATGAAACTAGAAATCAACTCCAAGAAAAAAACTGGGAAAGTGACAAAAATGTGGAGACTAAACAACATGTTACTGAACAACAAATGGATCATTGAAGAAATTAAAGGAGAAATAAAAAAATATCTGGAGACAAATGAAAATGAAAATACACCATACCAACTCATATGGGATGCAGCAAAAGCAGTCCTGAGAGGGAAACTCATAGCAATACAGGCCCATATTAACAAACAAGAAAAATCCCAAATAAGCAACCCTAAACTACACCTAACAGAATTAGAAAAAGAAGAACAAACAAAGCCCAAAGTCAGCAGAAGGAGGGAAATAGTAAAAATTAGAGCAGAAATAAACGAAATTGAAACCAAAAAAACAGTCGACAGGATCAATGAAATAAAGAGATGGTTCTTTGAGAAAACAAACAAAATTGACAAACCCTTAGCCAGACTCACTAATAAAAAAAGAGAGAAGGCTCAAATAAATAAAATTAGAAATGAAAGAGGAGAAATTACAACAGATACCACAGAAATACAAAGGATTATAAGAGAATACTATGAAAAACTATATGCCAACAAATTGGACAATGTAGAAGAAACATCAATTCTTAGACTCATACAACCTCCCAAAACTGAATCAAGAAGAAACAGACAATCTGAATAGGCCAATCACAAGTAAAGAGATTGAAACAGTAATCAAAAATCTCCCCAAAAATAAAAGTCCAGGGCCAGATGGCTTCTCTGGAGAATTTTACCAAACATTCAAAGAAGATTTAATACCTATCCTTCTCAAACTATTCCAAAAAATAGAGGAAGATGGAAGACATCCTAACACATTCTGTGAGGCCAACATCACCCTGATACCAAAGCCAGACAAGGACAATAAAAAGAAGGAAAATTACAGGCCAGTATCGCTGATGAACATAGATGCAAAAATCCTCAACAAAATATTGGCAAACCAAATACCACAATACATTAAAAAGATCATACACCATGATCAAGTGGGATTTATACCAGGGACACAGGGATTGTTCGACATCTGCAAATCAATCAATGTGATACACCACATTGAATAAAAACCAATGTGATACACCACGAGGAATAAAAACCACATGATCATCTCAATAGATGCAGAGAAAGCATTTGACAAGATCCAACACCCATTTATGATAAAAACTCTCAGCAAAATGGGTATAGAAGGAAAGTACCTCAACATAACAAAGGCCATATATGACAAACCCACAGCCAACATCATACTCAACAGGGAAAAACTGAAAGGCATTCCTCTGAGAACAGGAATAAGACAAGGGTGCCTATTCTCACCACTCTTATTCAAAATAGTACTGGAGGTTTTGGCCAGAGCAATTAGGCAAGAAAAAGAAATAAAATGATTCCAAATAGGCAACAAAGAAGTGAAACTCTCGCTGTTTGCAGACGACATGATTTTATATATAGAAAACCCTAAAGAATCCATTGGAAAACTATTAGAAATAATCAACAACTACAGCAAAGTTGCAGGGTACAAAATCAACTTACAGAAATCAGTTGCATTTCTATACTCTAATAATGAACTAACAGAAAGAGAACTCAAGAAGAAAATCCCATTTACAATCACAACAAAAAGAATAAAATATCTAGGAATAAATTTAACCAAGGAGGTGAAAGACCTATACAATGAAAGCTATAAGACATTATTGAAAGAAATGGATGATGACATAAAGAAATGGAAAGATATCCCATGCACATGGATTGGAAGAATAAACATAGTTAAAATGTCCATACTACCTAAAGCAATCTACAGATTCAACGCAATCCCAATCAGAATCCCAAAGATATTTTTCATGGAAATAGAACAAAGAATACTAAAATCCATACGGGGCAACAAAAGACCCCGAATAGCTAAAGCAATCCTAAGAAAAAAGAACAAAGCTGGAGACATCACAATCCCTGACTTCAAAATATACTACAGGGGCCGGCCCCATGGCTTGGCTGTTAGGTGCGCGCACTCCGCTGCTGGCGGCCCAGGTTCGGATCCTGGGCGCGCACCAACGCACTGCTTCTCCAGCCATGCTGAGGCCGTGTCCCACACGCAGCAGCTAGAGGGATGTGCAACTATGACATACAGCTATCTACTGGGGCTTTGGGGGAAAAAAAAGGAGGAAGATTGGCAATAGATGTTGGCTCAGAGCCGGTCTTCCTCAGCAAAAAGAGGAGGATTAGCATGGATGTTAGCTCAGGGCTGATCTTCCTCAAAAAAAAAAAAAAAAATATATATATATATATATACATGTACTACAAAGCTATAATAATTAAAACAGCATGGTACTGGTACAAAAAAAGACACATAGATCAAGGTAACAGAATTCAAAGCACAGAAATAAAACCACACATCTACAGACAGCTAATCTTTGACAAAGGAGCTAAGAACATACAGTGGAGAAAGGAAAGTCACTTCAATAAATGGTGCTGGGAAAACTGGACTGCCACATGGAAAAGAATGAAAGTAGACTATTTTCTTTTGCCACACAGAAAAATTAACTCAAAATGGATCAAAGACTTGAAGGTAAGACCTGAAACTACAAAACTCCTGGAAGAAAACATAGGCAGTACACTCATTGACATGGGTCACAGAGGGATTTTTTTGAACTCCATGTCTACTCGGACAAGGGAAACAAAAGAAAAAATAAACAAGTGGGACTTCATCAGACTAAAGAGCTTCTGCAAGGCAAATGAAACCAGGATCAGAATGAAAAGACAACCTACCAGCTGGGAGAAAATACTTGCAAATCATATATCCGACAAGAAGTTAATCTCCGTAATATATAAAGAACTCACACAACTCAACAACAAAAAAACAAACAACCTGATCAAAAAATGGGCAGAGGACATGAATAGGCATTTTTCCAAGGAAGATATACAGATGGCCAATAGGCACATGAAAAGATGTTCAACATCACTAACCATCAGGAAAATGCAAATCAAAACAACACTAAGATATCACCTCACACCCATTAGAATGGCTATAATCACCAAGACAAAAAAATAACAAATGTTGGAGAGGTTGTGGAGAAATGAGAACCCTAATTCACTGCTGGTGGGAATGCAAACTGGTGCAGCCTCTATGGAAAACAGTATGGAGATGCCTCAAAAAATTAAAAATAGAAACATCTTATGATCCAGCTATCCCACTACTGGGTATTTATCCAAAGAACCTGAAATCAACAATCCAAAGAGGCTTATGTACCCCTGTGTTCACTGCAGCTTTATTCACATAGCCAAGAAGTGGAAGCAACTCAAGTGTCCCTTGACTGATGATTGGATAAAGAAGAGATGGTATACATATACAATGGAATACTACTCAGCCATAAAAAATGACAAAATCTTCCCATTTGCAACAACATGGATGGACCTGGAGAGTATTATGTTAAGCGAAATAAGCCAGACAGAGAAAGACAAACACCACATGATTTTACTCATATGTGGAAGATAAACTAAGGCAAGGACAGAGAGAGCAGTTTGGTGGTTACCAGGGGGATGGGGGTTGGGGGGGAGTGGGCACAAGGGGTGAAGGGATCCATTTATATGGTGACTGACAAACAATAATGTACAACTAAAATTTCACAATGTTATAAACTATTATGACATCAATTAAAAAAAATCTTAGGAGTAATAAAAAAAAAAAATTGTTCAGGGGAAATATAGTATCCAACTGGCAAAACTGTAATTTTCATCCCTGCTTTTAATCAGACACGAAAATCAATTTCATATAAAAAAGGATTAAATGTGAACAAAATATACATCTCTTAAAAAAAAGAAAAAAACTGTAACCTCCTCACCGGCCCTCCCTCCTCCCAAGCCCCTTTTCTTGTTTCATTTTTCTCCCTAGCACTTACCGCCTCTAACATGCTATTTTACTTATTGACTTTCTTTTCTCTCTCCACTAACATGAACAATCCTAGAAGACAGATGTTTTTATCTACATTGTTCTCAGAGCCTAGTACAGTACTCAATAAATATAATAAAACTCGGCAATGATGGGCCCTGGAATAATGTATTTCAGATGTAAGTTGACTGGCTCCCGTCCTTGGCCCAGGGCCCGTTCTCACGTGATTACGTGACCGTCAATTTTACAGAACTGGATTTTCCGGACCCTGCCTCCAGGTGTGGCGGCCGAGCTTGAGGGCTGTGATGGGGCGTGGGAGGGGCTGTGGGCTTACAGGATGCTCGCCATCTCCTGGTGCAGGTCCTGCAGCGACTGGAGCAGGCTGGGCAGCATGAGCTGGTGGTGGTGCTGGTGGTGCAGCTGTGCAGCCCGCACGCCCAGCACGTAGCGGTTGTGGTGAGCAAAGAGCTTCCACAGGCTGCGTACATACTTGTCCCTGGCCCTGTCGCGATCCTTGTCTGCCACGGGAGGGGAGGGAGGTGTGGGTGACGGCACAGAGGCCTGGGCAGCCCCCACTCCCTGGGCACCTGTGGACAGGTCAGGGCTCCTTTGGGATTCCCTCCCTGCCAGTGAGGGAAGCCACAAACCTTTGCTGGCCTCCTGGTACTTGCGCCTGGCCTGGGCGCTGTCCCGTGCCAGGGCTCGGTACTGGCTCTTCAGCTTCTCAATGTCCTGGCTGTGGGTCTGGGGAGAGAGGAGAGGCCAGTGTGGGGTAGCAGGTCCCCCGGACATGGGAGATACTCTCCCAAGGTGAAGCCCTGGACAGGTCCTGCAGTCCAGGCAGGCTGCACATCCAAGTCCATCCTCCAGGAAGGGCCTGGAGACCTCTGGGGCCTAATCTCTGCTGCTGAGGTTAGGGTCAGAGGGGCTGGGTTAAGGCTAGGCCCCTGGGAAGACAGAGAGGTGGACTAGGCAGGCTACAACTGTCCCTCCTTGGCCCAGAGTGCCATTTGGTGGCAGGTGGGGCCCAGCTGCAGGCATGTGCGGCCTGTGCAGTGGTTGCACAGAGCTCCACACGTAGAAGGGCCCCGTGCTTGGTTTAATGCTCTGTTGATGCCACCTTGAAATTCTTTATAATTTTTTGACAGGGGGCCCTACAATTTCATTTCGCACTGAGTCCTGCAAATTTTGTTCCTGGTGGCAGGAACAACAGACGGTCAAGACCAGAGTTCTCATCCCAGTTCCCCTGTTGATGCACTGGGATACTCTGGGCAAGTTCCATCCCTCTCCTCTGAACCTCAGTTTCTCCATCTGTAACTGAGCTGAAAGTATAGACTAGATGAGCCTTTTTCTTAAAGGGCCAGATGGTAATCTGGCCTATAATCCTAGGTTTATAGGCCATAGAGTCTCTGTTGAAATTACTCAGCTCTGCCATTGTAGCTTTATAGTAGCCATGAGTAAAATGGAAACAAATGGGCGTGAATGTGTTCTATAAAGTACCTATAAAAACAGGCAGACCCCTGAATTAGATGAGCTTCTAGTGAGAGAGGAGTGGGTGGAGACTGGCCACCAGGGGCCGCTGTGAGTCTGTGGCAACGCTAGGTTTGCGCTGATGGGAGGGTTGTGGTGCAGGGGGCTGACCAGTACGTTGAATTAGGAGGCTGAAGCACCCAGATAAATAGCGCCAGTCACACAACCTCTAGACTGAGGAGCTGGGCAGGATTCAAACGCAGGCAGGCCGACTTCACAGCCCCAGGCCTTAACCTCTGTGTCAGGGGGCCACACTGCTGCCTTGTGGTGTCTCTGGGGCCCTGGGGGGAGCCCGCCTAGGCCAAGGGCAGAAGACTAGCCCTCATTCCTCTCTCTGTCTCTCAGACCCCAGAGCCACCTGGTGCAGCGCGGGAGATGGGTCACAGATCTCGCGTTCCTCCTAGGGAATGGCTGGATCACTTGTCCTTGTACTCCAGCACTCTGCCCAGGCACATAGTACGATAGAAAATGCAGAGAGGTCCTGCTGCAGGCCAGCCCAAGGGCGAGGGGAAGGAGGAAGCTGTGGCAAGGCTGGAGCAGGCCCTGGGAGCGGGCCTGCGGTCAGGACTTCCACTTCCCCAGTGAATCCAGCAGCTCTTGTGCAAAACCAGCCCTTTTAGTTTCAAAATTAAGCAGAAATGACCAGGTGAAGCCCCAGTGCTACCCACCCACCTTGGTGAGCTCCTGCTGCAGCTGCTGCCACTGCTCGCTGTAGGTCTTCCGCAGCTGCTGCCGCTCCCGGATCAGCAGGCTCAGCTTGCTCAGGGGCCCTGAGTTCAGATCTTCTGCGTGCTGCCTCAGCAACCTGCTCAGGCCCTCCGTCTGGCTGGTGATCTCTGCCCAGGACTACAGCACAGGATGGGCGAGACAGGGAATGGGGGACAATGGCTCCCAAGCCTGGGCCTGCCAAATCTCCACCCTACCCAGTGGGCTCCAGGGAAGGAAGTGGGCAGGCAGATAACCTGGCAACCAGAGGAATACCTCAGGCGAGGGCGGGAAGGTGGTGAGGAGGCCTAGGGCCCCATAGAAGCCCACCTGGCTGATGGGGCTCTCGGGGCTGATGCCCCGGCTCTGGCCCCCACTGTCCTGCAGGGACATGTGGTGCAGCAGCCCCGCGTATTCCCTGTCACTCTTGACTCGCTGGGCCATCCACTTCCTCATGCCCTCCAGCAGCCGAAGCTCTGACTCCTGCATCTGCTGCACTGCCCCGTGGCCCTGCGGGCTGCACAGCTCCGAAGAGAAGCCCATAGTGCCGTCCTGGGGACAGAGAGGAAGAGGCCACCACTGGGGACAAGGCAGCAGCTGGAGTTGGAGGGGCGGGTCAGGGAGGCTAGGGGCTGCTGGGCCAGGAGGAGCTGCTGACAGGCAGGAGGTGGGGTCCTGTCCTGCTAAATGCAGCTATAGGTACAAAAGAGCCGCCTGGCCTGGGACTGGGTCTCCTTGCTTCCTGCGTCCAAGGCCAAGGCCTGGTGCCAGGGGTCCCCTTACCAGTCCTGGAACAGGAGCCGCCCAGAGCCTCCCTTCCACGGCCCTTCCACCCAGCACCAGTTGCCAGGACGTGTGTGCCCAGTGCCCTCGGCAGGCCAAGCCTGCCCCTGCCGGCCCCCACGCAGCCCCAGCCGAGCCCTGCCACCACGGCCGCCCCTGCCCTTCCGCGGGCCCTGCCCCGCCCAGTCCGGTGTCCGGCTCTCAGGACGCCTGCCCGGTCCCCGCCGGCCGCCCCTGCCTCCCGCGCCCGCCCG